GGGCGCACGTCTCGGGGCTTCATACAAGCGATCCGCCGGCTCTATAGCCGGCGGATCGCTTGTATATTAACGGGCATCGCTGCCTCTTTTCAAATAGCGGGGATTTCCCGCTCGCGCGCGCCGCGCCCGTGCGGGCGGATGTAACAGGACGTGTATACACGCCCAGTTACATCCAAGAAGCTCCCGGCAGGCCGTGTATACACAGCGGCTGGCCGGGAGGTAGTTAATAGTGTCTGGACTTTTTTTGTACTTGTACCTACAAAGCTGGATACTTCTGCTGGCTGGTGATCAGGACACTGGTTGTGGCTTCAACAGTACCTACTGACACTATACTGGTAATCAGGATACTTGTTGTGGTTGTAAAAAGAAACCTTACACCGTGCTGGTACTGCTGGCAATTAGTACACTGGTTGGGGCTGTAATGGTACCTACTGATACCATACTGGTACTGACTGAGGCTGGTACTGTGTGGCACTGCCTGCAATCAAGATGCTGACTGGAGATGGCACTGTGGCAATCACACAAATATTTGGGCTGACACTGCTGGCAATCAAGACTCTGATCAGAATGGCAGGCTAGAAATCAAGACTCTGAGTGGGGCTGGCGCTGCTGGCAAACAAGACTCTGACTGACTGGTAGGCTGGCACTGCTAGCAATCAGGACTCTGGCTGGAGGGGGGGACGGGCACTGCTGGCAATCAAGACTCTGACCAACTGACAGACTGGTACTGATGGCAATGACTAACAGGCTGGTGCTGCTGGTAATCAGGACTCTGACCGGACTGGTGGGCTGGCAATCAGGACTCTGACCGGACTGTTGGGCTGACACTGCTGGCAATCAAGACTCTGACCAGACTGGGGGGCTGGCACTAAAAACTCTGATTGAGGCTGGCACTGCTGGCAAGACTCTGATTGGGGCTGGCACTGTGTCAATCAAGACTCTTACCGACTGGCAGGCTGGCAATCAAGACTCTGACATGCTGACATTGCTGGTAATCAGGTCATCAGGATTCTGACGGACTGGCAGGCTGGCACTGCTGGCAATCAGGAATTTGATGGACTGACAGGCTGGCACTGCTGGCAATCAGGACTTTGATGGACTGACAGGCTGGCACTGTGGCAATCAGGACTGGCAAAAGCTCTGCTAGAATGTGCTGGATAACAAAGTATTGTTTGAACTGGTTGTTACTGTGTTTTCTCCTCTCACAAACAAACAGTATGTGAGAGATGAAACAGCAACAATGTTTCCATTTAATGATCTAGTGTGGTTGGTCACAGCGATCACACAGAACAGAGCCGAATTCACCGGCTCAGCACCAATTTCTTATATTTCAAAATTTTTATTGTTTTCATCACAACTTAAAATCACAACATACAACATTGCTCAATAAAACCTAATCACATTTATAACCATAGAGTTATAACTCTTGCCTGACAGTTTTCTTGTTCTCCGTCCTTGTTTATATAGCTGTATATTACTAACCTCAGAATGTTTTACGCATATAGTTTCTGAACATTTCCTTATAGGGGGTAGAGAAGCTATCTTATTGGACCTTGGTGAGGATCCAATCTTGAATTGCTATTTTTCCCCCCCAATATTTGCTTTGAGCAGCACCAATTTCTTTAAACTACACTGTCCAATAAACAATGTGTTTAAAATTGATTGCTCATTACCGCGCTAGGGGGCGCATGCGAGCTAAAAGAAAAAAAGGACGTGTATTTACGTGATCCCACTCGGAGCTGACTGGCGTCCGAACATGTAGAGACAGTGATCGGACGGCAAGTGGTTAAAATAATATTGCAGAGTGCTGAAGAACTTGCAAAGTTACTTGTTTTTGGCAAGATCAGTGTGTATTTAAAAAATATGTATTTAACCTTGTTACGCCAAGTGTGCATAAAGCAGGCATATGCAGTTGCTGTATATGAACACAGAAGCATACTTTTTTGTCATCTGCATCTCCTCATGGCTCGTTTTGAAATGGCCTGCATCACTGCTTTGCAAGCAGTCTGTGTAAATTAACACGCTCTCTCTGAGCTCTCTCCCCCTATTCATTAGTATACTGTGAGGGTGTTAGCTCAGCAGCAGGTGTGTATCACTCCCTGGATGAGTTCACTACACAGTAAATAGGCACAACAAGCAACAATTTCTTTAGGTGAAAACACACGTGCAGTTTATTTACACTATTTACAAGCAAAACAAAAAAAATTGAGACTAAACCCTTGCCTCTTGGCAGCTTACTATATATACACAGAGTTTCCCTCACTGTCAACTAGGTGCAACCTTGTGCTGCCCCTAGCACCTGTCCTCCTACTGAACAAACTGCCACACAGGCTGTGTCTCACTGCATGAGTTTGGGTTTTTCTTTTTCACCATACAGGTAGGTACAAAGCTCACCAGTCTACTCAGGCACAAAAACTGGTTCCAGGGTGGAGCAAATCTCTAAGCAGTCTGGGAGTTCTTATAGAGGCACTAATGAGCTAGCTTACTTCAGCTGGGCTCATTACCTCTACTGCTCAAGCACTCCCTCTAGTGGAAGACATCTGTATAAAACCTGAACCTGGGAAACACATATTTGCCATTCTGAATGCACCCAGGTGCTTGCCTGTTGTCACAATTCATAGTGGCAACTCCCTTGGACATTGTATTGTGACCTGAAAAGGCAGAGCTGGTGTGTAGTGATCTTGTTACAATGACTCACTGGGAAGGAGTCAGCTGCTTTATAATCCGACCCCAGTGTCAGACTGTGTTTGCTGTGGAATTTTTTTGTTCAATTTGTAGGACTCAGGCCTACTAAAAAGTCCAAACAAATAAGAAAACCAGCAATATGAGTCATTAAATTGTGCACACATTTACATAATCACTGCACCTCTACATTACCACAATAAATGCTTATCACTTACAAAGGTGGAAATGGGCTTTAAACTATGAAAGGTATAGTCAGTGGTCATACTATGTTCTCATATTGAGCCTATAAGCAATAAACCATTTGTATTATTTTCCTATCAAGCATCTGTCACTTTCTTTTCAGAAGGGAAATGAGTTGGCGCAGGAGAAACCCCAGTTTTCCCCAACGGTCTTTGAAAAACTCAATGGGTTACATGAGCAATGGGATGAGATGGAGACAACTACCCTTAAGAAGGAGCAGACCTTGTTTGATGCCCACCACTCAGAGCTGTATGAGCAAAGGTTTGCAGATATAGCTATGTGGATAAAAGACATGGAGCAGCAAGTAGAATCTGATGACTATGGAAAGGACCTGACCAGTGTCAACATCCTTCTCAGTAAACACAAGGTAGGGGCAAAGCTGTGTATGCTGAGTGAAAGCTTCTATAGAGTCATCCTAATAATGATCAGGCATGTGAGCACTCCGTATTATGCATACATACAACACCAGAAGTTTAGTGTTCATTTTTAAGCAACGTATTTGTCTTCTATGAAAGAAGTCATCTTGAGTCTATCTAAACCATTTTTTTATAGTTTTTTTTTATAGCTTGTGTGGAGAGTTTATATTTTTATGTGTGTCGCCACTAGGGATATTCACCCTCTCTATTTGTTCTATTGACTGTTGTCACTGGGACTGAAAGTGTGGATAAATCAATTTCTTTTTACTGTTATCACTGGAACAGTAGGTGAAGAGAAGCCTTCCATTGGGGACCCCTGTTCAATTGACAACTGTGTAACAGAGGACTTTCACTTAATTTGGAGATTTTTCCTCTCAGGTCTCCAAAACAGGATGTGAAAAGAAAATCTACCTAATGTGATATAGACAACACAAAGGGGCTGACTTATAAATATTCCGCCCAGCATATACCTGTAGCTGGGCAGATGCCATTCGCATGGAAGTAGCACAACTAGATGGCGATGAGAAGCATAGCAACTACTTGTGCTTTTCAACGCCATCTGGGGCGCTAGTGCCGTGATGCACTGCGCCCCAGCTATATGCTGGGGCGCAGTGCATCTGCCCAGCTATATGCTGGGCGGAATATTTACAAATCAGCCCTTTAAATATATACATTGTATTTTTAATAATTTCTATTTTGTTAGCAACTAGGCCAGGGACACAAAAGTAAATATCTTATTAACTAGCTCTGTAGAAGTATAGGTGCATAGCTGGCATTTTAAAGCTATTAAGTTAACCAGTATATTATGCATTTTCTGTAGTCACGTTATTTAAAGTGTTGGGATGTATCTTTAGTATATCTGTGACATGAACATGTTTTACATAAATATGGCCTTGGAATGATCACATTCTTTTTTTATTGTATATCTGTAGAGAATTGAAGATCACATAGATCAGAAAGCAATAGAAATAGATGAGGTTGTTCCAGACCGGCCATCACCTGCTGGAGACAAAGAACTCGGAGAAAAGGAACAAAATATTAAAATGCGTTTTCTACAGCTTCAAGCACCAATGCAGAAAAGAGAAAGAAAGCTGCAGTCTTCGAAGAAAGTACACCAGCTACACCGGGATTTGGCAGATGAAATTGTACGTTTTGTTTTCCTTCTCCCTGGTCTCTCCCTCCCATCATTCAGAGTAGCACAATTCCCTTTCTCCCTCTTAGTAGAATGAACACACGGAGTAAATCAGGTGCGGATCCAGATTCTCTATCTCGGCAGGGGCACTGCTAGAAAATAAGGTGTTGCTTACAGAACAGAATATTGTAATAATTCATTATGTTGCAGTTGTTTGTAATGTAGAACAGCAATTGTGCCTTTTTATTTTTACACATCCTGACACTTATGTGCAGACATTGGATCTCTGCCAAACAACATTTGGCACATTACTGTCATTCAAATGGGTCTGTCGTCCACACTGCACATTACTGTGTTTTATTGCTGTGGAGTTTTGTGATACACATAGTCTAGGCACAGTGTGAAGGATGGAGGGCCACAGACTGAAGGAAGATTCGATATTTACAAGAAAACAGAGTGCTTTAAAAGTACCAGAAATACCACTTGTGATTCCATTAGATTAAAAACATTTTTTATTTATACATAATCATTAAAAGTATATATATCAAAATCATGTTAAAAACACATAAAATGTCCATCTTTACATTGTAAGCATCCCTATTGGCAACCAAAAGGTTAGGTAGGTTACTACTTAGGTCCATATATAGTCTGTTGTAAGTTGAGGCCCAAGTATCACCGCAGGTCGATATTCCTCTACGTGTTTCGCTCCCATTAAAGGGACTTCCTCAGGAGCAATGGATGCTCTACATGATTAGATAAATATATATTATCCGTCTGATATATACATAATCAACATAGTGCTTATAAGAAGTATTCATTATTAATAATCATACTGTGCATATATTTCAAGTGAAGCTTAAACATACAAAACAAGGAAAGAAGGAAAAACAAAAAACACAGAAAAACAATCTTGCCTGTAAATGTGGTCAAGGATGTGGAAGGTGGACAACAGGGTAGTGAACTCAGACCAGAGTACACTGCGATTGCAACTATTAATGACCTATTCAAAAGCCAGTTTCCCATGGGGAGCCTACAAAGAAATCACATAACTATACATTACTGGTTATAGAGATAACTGCTGATTGGAGGTGATGTAAGGAGCGACCAAAAAGAGAGAAAATAGAGGATAAGAAACATTAACCCAAATGCTCCATTCAATTACTCAATCACTGCCGCCTACAGGACACCATGGAACAATGTCTCGGCAGTGGTAAAAGATGGTACACGTCTATCCCAGCTCCAGAGCTTGTATTCAGAGAGGGAACCCCACAACTATATTCGAACAAAGATCTCTACCAACATATAATAATACAAATAAAAAAAGGAACAATAAATGACTGCAGGAAAAATAAAGGCATATAGAGCCTAGATTAAATTGACTGTCCCCATTTGGAAAAAACAAGGCAGTGTCATCATTGCACAGCATGGCCACATAAACAGTTATTAGGGAGAGATAAATTAAAAGGGTAAAACCAAGTAATGCAAAAGTACTAAAATAAAACATTTTTGTACAGCTTGCACTTTATATCCCATAAAGTACACCCGATTCCAAAATATACTGTAGTTTCTATTCCGATTACTTTACTCCCGTAAATTAACAATAACCTACTCAGATTATACATTTCTTGGAATATCAATCCATAGCGTTGTTTTCAAAAATATATATCTCACGATGTATATGTTGGGTTCTTCATGTAACAATAGGACATATATTATAGATTATGTTTGCTGAAACTATTCAAGGAAAGGCTTAAAACTCATGACATCGTTAAGTCCAGGACTTGTGGTGGCTTTTAAGTTGTAAATCCACCTTGTTTCACAGCATAAGATTTTTCTCTCAAAATTGCCCCCTCTGGGGGGTAATTGTAAAAACCACAACAACACAAAAAAACTTAATGAAAGAAGCATTGAAATTTTGGTAAAGTCCCATATGTTGACTAATTGGGGTAGTCATGTTCCCATTTGAGGTAAGATAGATATGGTCTTGAATGCGCTTGCGGAAAGGTCTTGGCGTCTTACCAACATAGAAGGATCTGCAAGTGCATGTCACGAGATAGATCACTCCCTTGGTGTCACAATTGGCAACATTTTAAGCTGTCCATTCTTTACCATTGGGGAGATTTATCTCCTTGGCTTGGTGGACCCATGGCCATTGGTTTTCAGTTGTGGCACTTGAAAGTGCCTGTCAATCGCTTTGATTATCAACATCCTCATTGTAGAAGCTATGGACCATAGAGCCCTGAAGGGATTTGGAACAACGAAATACAAGTTCAGGTGTATCCACTGCCTCCCCTCTGGCTCTTCCGCTACCACTGTGCCCACCTCTCTCACAACCACCTCTGTGTCCACTACCCCCCTCTGGTTCTTCCATTGCCACTGTGCCCATCTCTCTCCCACCACCAGCTGTGTGTCCACTGACCACCCAGCTCTCCCCCTGCCACTTTGCCCACCTCTCTCCTCTCCCACCACTACCTCTGTGTTCACTGACCCCCCAGCTCTCCCCCTGCAACTGAGCCACCTCTTTCCTCTTCCCACCACAGCCTCTGTGTCCACTGACCCCCCCAGTCTCTCCCCCTCTCCTCTTCGGGTTACCTCTTTTCCCTGAGATCCTCCTGCCGCTGCTAGTCTGATCAATCACAGCCTCTGCTTTAGTATTCGTTTGTAATGGTTAATTGTGACTGTTAATAATATACCGTCCATGGCATGAAATGATGGGTGGCAGTGAATGATGGATGGAATATTATTAACAGTCACAATTAACGATTTAAACTAAATACTTTGTGAATAAATCCCGGTTCCCGCGATAATACTAGTCTGTGCGCAAGCGCAGATGCTGAGGTCGGCAAATTCGACTACGTCGGCATTCTCGACAAAACACCGGTATCTGCGTTTAGTATCGGGGCATTGCTGTATAATTGTATAATCATCATACAGCAATGTGTTGGAGCTATTCTGCATTGCTGTATAATCATCATACAGCAATACAGAATATCACCAGCTATGCAGGACTACAAGTCCCAACAATGCATTATAATAAAAGTCGGCTATGCAGAATACCCCTAGCATCCCCCCCATGGGGCGTAGTTTGTGGGTTCCGACTTCTGCTTTTGTTGATTGTAGTCTGTTTCTTATATGGGGATGTGGGTCTGATTTGTCTCTGGTCTGTAGATAAATCCTGGTGGGTGCGGGTGGCACAGTTGCTGAGTATAGGGTTCCCTGTCTTCCTGTATTTAGCCAGGAGAGGCAGCTTACAGGCTGTGATGGGCGGGTCTATTCACAGAGCATCCCGATGCTCTGTGTATTCAGGAAGCTCCAGGCTGAGGCCCCAGCGCTGCCTGTGGTACATTTACGCCGTGCGGCTCTCTCCCTCACTTGCAGGGCGGCCAAGCGGATGGCGCCCACCGCCATTCATTCCCCTACCCTGCCACTGTCCGCTCGCAATTGCGACCGCTGCGGCTCTGGTAGTTCCGCCAGTGCATACAACCACTGGTAGTAGGCAAACATAATAGACATTTTAGTTGCTGCACTTATCGTCTCCTGTTTTGGTTGTTGGAGTATAATATACTGTGAGAACTAGCTAGAGCATTAAGGACGCATTTACTAACTTCAATCCTCTTTTCAGGGCTTCCTTCCCCTTTTTTATTAACAGAAAGTTCTCAAACAATAATTCAGTTGCCTTCACAGGGTTTTTTCAACATTGCTCTTCACAAAATACAAGCATTCAGCCTCCTGGCTTAAAACACTGTGTTGATTTGTGCACTTGGTACCTTGGAGCCCTGAACACTCACAAGCTCCCATTCTTTGAGGGATGTGCACAGCTGCACAATCAACAGTACTGCTAAACCTCAAAATATGGTCCCAGGGTTGGAGGCTTCATCCCACCTAAGTCTCTCAAAAGACTCTGGCTTTCAGGACCCTGACCAGGGTTTATCAATGCTGGAGAAAACTGAAAAGCCAGTTTTCTCCCTATGCAATATGCCTCCTGGAGTCTCCCAACCTGTATGGGTGAGAACCTTGGGTGCCCTTTAGTCCTTATCACATTGTGGCAAGTCACAATATCTATATGGTTTGTGGACACCTGACTATTGCACCTACACTATATGTCATAAAAATTACTGAGTTACGGTAACAGCTTACAAAGATATTTGAGACATTATTGCTCTTCCAACATCTCGTCCAACATCAGCCCCTCACAAATGTTCTTTTGGTTGAATGGGCATACATTTCCACAGACACACTCCAAAATCCTGTGAAAATTCTTCCAAGAACATTGGAGGCTGTTAGAGCCATATAGGTTGGGCAATCACCATATAAATGTCCATTGTTTTTGAATAGGATGTCCAACAAACTTGCTTGTGCTGGGTTAGACTTAAATAGCGGTCTGTATAGCTTTTTAGAAACCAATCAGAGTGTTAAAAGAGAACTATGGCCAAACCTGTTTTGGCTATACTTCTTTTTGGGTCACAGAAGTACATTCACTAATGTACTCCTGTGACCCAAAGTCAGCCTATAGGGGCTACTACCCACTATATGCTGACAGCGCAGAGCCATGCTGCAGTCTGGAAAGATCCCCTGACAATATTGTGGGAATCCACCACGCTGCCTAATTGACAGCTGACTCTGACTCTCTAGAGCCAGAGCCAGTTGTGTCCGCTCCCTCCCCTGTCTGTCCCTCCAATGCTCATTGGAGGAACAGAGAAAGGGGACAGAGGAGTACCTGTGAGGAACGGTGACTGACCGCTTGTGATTGCTCAGCTCTCGAGATACATTTACATTTTGATGCTTTTCATGTATTACATCATTTAACATGACGTTCTGTTTACAGATTTGGGTTCGGGAAAGAATGCCACTTGCAGAATCCGAGGATTATGGAAACAATCTTCAGATGGTGCAGATGCTTTTAAAGAAGAATCAAGTATGTCCATGAAATTTCTTGCCTCTTACACACAGTTACTGATCATGCTGTGCCTAATGATTTGTAATGTCAAAACTAATTTCACAGTTGGGTTGAAAAGGCATCCACAAGGGTTTTTTTTTTTAGAATAATAGATATTGTTAGTATAGTTCCTGCTAGCAATTCAGGAATTATCCATTATTGTTAGCAATATCTAAGTAAATAGCTCTCTATTGGTTTACTTTGCCCATACCTAAATTGCATTTCTTACTGTTGTGCTTTTCTTTTCTTACTGCTTCCTACGCTGGCCAATGGTTTTTATTTCAGAGGTCTCCCTTGAGAGTGCGTACTCTTAGTTGCCCATGGGAATTGTGCTGAATTAATGTAGTTTAAACCAGAGCATATACCTCCAGTTACCTCTATGCTCCCCATTTCTGAATAAATGAAGCCACAAATCAGATGGATCCCGATTCCCTTCAATAAAATCTGTTGATTTATAGGATAACTAAACCTAATAAAAAAGGTTTAATATATTGCAACTTATTGGTCCCTCAATGGGGTTTGCATTAGTTTTTTTTTCGGGCTAAGAAAATTTTAAGCAAATAGAGAAAATATATTTTGCTCTTTCCAGCAATGCAGTGTTGCTTTCTGTGAGATGACCTGGAAGCATAAACAATCTTATCCTTCTGCTGTAAACTACTAATCTCCCCATGTGTGCAGAAAACGCCTTGGCAGCGAAAGGGTTAAAATAATGATTTTAAAAAAAAAGTATTTTAAGTTAGTTCCAAAAATAGATTGTCAGAAAAATATTTACACAATTAGCGTTGTTGGTTATGTTTTTAGATGAAGCTAAATCTTAGATGTTGAGGAATGCTGAATTAAGTTTTCACTTGCTTATAACAATATTACATCAGAATACAGCATTGTACAGCATACAGAGAGAACTTCCTATGTATCATAGACAAACATGTACAAAAAAAGACTAGCATAGAACAGCATTGCACCACTGCACCATCTACAGCTTAAAAGACATAATATATGCTGTTGCATTTCCAACACCCCTTCTCAACAGCATATGCAATACTATATGCTATTTAGCTTCTCTCAAAGGAAACTGTGACAATCCTTTGGAAATGGCTTGGTGGGTGTGCGTCTGCAGTAATTTCTTCTGATATAGTAATATTGCATGTCGATAATGGCTTGATCTCGAGTGTCCCTTAGCAGATGATACTACACATCGATATGCTTGGTTCTAGGGTTGACTCTTTCTGATTGTGTCAGCTTTATACATCTATGGTTGTCTTCAAAGATTTGGATGGGGTTTGACAAGTCTACACCCATGTCCACTAAAAGGTGGCAAATCCGTATTGCTTCTTGACATGCGTGTGCTGCTATGTATTCAGCTTCAGTTGAGGAAAGTGCAGCAGTTGTTTGCTTTTGGCTAGACTAACTTATGGTTCCTTCCCCGTATTGGAAGATGTAACCACTTGTGAATTTGCGATCTGTGCAGTCTCCGGCCCAATCAGCATCCGCATATCCAATTCGTTTTGGATTTGACGTTGCTGGCAGTCGTAGCTTCATCCAAATTGTTCTTCTTAAGTACTGTATTTCCCTCTTTACTCTGTTCCAGTCAATATAACAGGGTGCTGTGACTTTTCTAGTGAGTATGCCCACTGCTGACTCTATGTCTGATCTTTTCACAGTATAGTAGCTTTCCGATTGCTCTGCGGTACATGTCATTGTTGGGTAGCAAGTTTTCTGTTTCATTGCTCTTTTGGTAGCCTGGTTCCATAGGTTTTTTTACTTCCTTGCATGTGGAATTGTTCCAAAATGTCTGCAGTTTTTGACTTTGGTTGAGAAGATAGCTTCCATCTTCTTCTCTCTCTATTTAAATTCCCAGATTGTGACTGATGTTTCCTAGCTCTTTTATTCCAAAGTTTTGTTTTCGTTTATGAACTATTTGACTATAGTACCTTCTTGTTCAAAACAGGTTATACATTTGTCATCAGCATAAAATAGGATGTATGTTCACCTGTCTTCTTATTTCCTGGAATAAAGACAGGGATCTGCTTTGCTTCTTGTGAATCCCTCTTTCGTGAGTATTTGATTTACTTCCTCATTCCACATTCTTGCAGATTGCTTCAAAGATGCTTTTATGGAGTTTACACACAAGGTTGTATCCTTGTTCTAATCCATGTAGAGTCGTTACCCTAAGGAGAACTATGGGGAAAAACACTGACCCCATAGTTCTCCTTTAATGTCTCCATATAGGAAAACGGTTCTAACCTCTAGGTTTTTCACTTCCTGCCTGCGATGATAAGGAATGTTCTGATGTTGGATTCTTTTACGACAGGAGCAAATGTTTAATTTAAGTCTTCTCTAGATTTCTGGGAGTATCCTTTGACAACTAACCTGGCCTTGTATTTGTGGATATTTCCTTCTGCATCAAACTTCACCTTAAAAGTCAATATAATAAAATAAGTGTGACGCACTGTGAACCAAAACGTCACACATAAATGGTATCCAAATCTGTCTCCTTACATCTAGACAAAATTGTGTGAAAAATATAAGTCCCAATCTTATTTTATAAACCTCTTATTATATAAATAAATAAATGCACATAAACTATGCATGAACAGAGGTGCATTTAAATAAATATCTATATAAAATATGATAACAAATATAGTAATGTGACTTTGTAGTCATCCACATTATTATAGTATTAAAGTGCAAAAGTGTTCAGTTCACATAAAGTGCTTCAATCAATGTAACAATTATCGATCCACATCGTGCTTCAGTCATCCAAACAACATTGGTTGATGTATCCACTCGCATTACATCTATCGACCGTGTCTTCACCCATCTGAAATAACAATATCTGCCTCTCACCTTTTTGGATAGACCTCTCAAACAGAAAGTCATCAGCGTGTTACCTCATTTGTAGCAAGGGGTTCTCCCGGCCCTAATCAGTCTAAGGATCGTTCCACAGACTCCTCCAATGTTTAATCTCATTTAGTCCAGTAGATTTCGCTCATCCACACTGACAGAACATTGATCATTGTGCAGACCATTTGATTACCATAAAACATCCCTTTCTTTGTAAAATCACTCACATTTGATAAGATCAATCAATGGCAAAGTACAAGCGTTCCTATGACTTTCACACATACAGCGTGTCCACAGACTCCTCAGTTTGACCTTGTGTCAGCAAACTCCATCCAATGTACGTTAAAGTGACATTAAACCCTCAGACTTTTTAACATAAACCAATACTGTAATGTGTGCCTTACTGTAATCCTTTGTTGTTTCCCTTCTCTTTGCTGCTCTTCCTTTTAAATCCCCATGTCTTCTCATGCTGGGGGAGAACTTCCCTTTGCAGCTGAGTGCCTCTTCCTGTAGTGCTGGCTCGGGTTGCAAACCTACACACAGACACCATGTATCCATTTCAGAGACAAGGCAGTCTGCTGCAAAACAGAAGTTCTGCCCAGCATGAGAACAGATACAGATTTAAAAGGAAGAGCAGCAAAGAGAAGGGAAACAACCATGTATTACAGTAAGGCACACATTACAGTATTGTTTTATGTTAAAAAATCTGAGGGTTTAATGTCACTTTAAGTCTCAAATGATTTTGTCCAGGGCTCAAAGTCGTTTGAAAAGAAATGTACGTCGGGTGGAGTTTGCTGCCATGAGGCAAAACTGAGGAGTCTGTAGACACGCTATCTATGTGAAAGTCATAGCCATTGATTGATCTTATCAAATGTGAGTAGTTTCAGGTCTAGCTCACTCCACAAACAGTGCGTTTCGGCCCGATCTGGTGCCGGAACGCACTGGATAGCATCCTGGCCGGCTCCTTGCATTTAGGGGCAGGAGGGGGCGTGGCGGTGCATTGAAGTTAATGGCACCACAGCCACGCCCCCCAGCCACAGTGCAATCGCCCGCACCCGAACGCGTGACACATCAATGCCTGTGTTCCGGTCCGATGCGGTCAGAAAAAAGTAGGAGATTTGGCGGGGAGGGGCACATTGAGGAACCTGGCCTTGGGGCAGCTGAGAGAGTAAATCTGGCCCTGAATGTGGATGACCACAAAGTCACATTACCATTATTATTATACAGGATTTATATATGACCAACAGTTTGCGCAGCGCTTTACAATATAAGGAAGACATTACAATCACAATACAATTCAAGACAAGATGATGAGGAGGGCCCTGCCCGTAAGGGCTTACAATCTAAAAGGGAGGGGCAAGTGATACATGGGGAGGTTGCTGTGTGGGAATTAATGGTATTATGTGATGGTTGAGTGGTTAGTTTGAGGTGGGATAGGCTTCCTTGAAGAGATGAGTCTTAAGGGATCGCCCCTAAAGGCAGTCAGAGTGGGAGATAGGCGGACAGCTTGGGGTAAAGAGTTCCAGAAGATGGGAGAGACTCTAGAGAAGTCCTGGAGGCGAGCATGGGAGAAGTTGACGAGGGAGTTGGAAAGCAGGAGGTCTTTGGAAGAGCGATGGGGGCGATTACGGTGATACTTTTAGACAAGTTTTGAGATATAGCCGGGGGCAGAGTTGTGAATGGCTTTGTAGGTGTTTGTTAATATTTTGAATGTTATCCTTTGGGCTATTGGAAACCAGTGGAGGGATTGGCAGAAGGGGGTTGCAGACACTGAGCGGTTGGTTAGGTGAATGAGCCTAGCAGCAGCATTCATGATAGCCTGTGTAGAGGTAGGCCAATGAGGAGGGAGTTGCAATAGTCAAGATGAGAGATAACAAGTGAGTGAATGAGTAGTTTTGTGGTTTCAATGGGTAGGAAGGGGCATATTTTGGAGATGTTACGAAGGTGAAGGTGGCAGGAATTGGATATGGATTGGATGTGGGGAAGAAAGGTGAGGTCCGAGTCAAGGATGACACCTAGCACCTTGGCATGGGGGGTGGGTTTGATAGTTGTGTTATCAATTTCAAGGGATACAATTGGGGGAAGGTGCACAGACAGGAGGAAATATCATGAGCTCTGGTTTTGAAAGGTTGAGT